TTGAACTTACAATCATATTAGAACCTAAATTGCATATGGGATATGACTCTAACCTCGAATGTGCATATGAACCAACCATGGAAATAAAATATACTCTTAAATATGAACATAGAATTCAAATTAAAATTATATATAACCCTAAATATAGAAGTAAAACATATAACTTATAGTTGAATCAACTAAAAATTTAATAAAGTAATTATGCAATGTAAAAGTGAACAGCTAATGCCAACTAGAATGATAAATCAATCGAACATGCTGGTTTAAATACTGAGGTAGTTTCTAACAAGCCTGTCTTTCCCAAAAAAGTTTTAATTGAATTTGGTTTTAGACTCTTAACAAGCAAGTGTGTGTGTGTGTGTGTGTGAGAGAGAGAGAGAGAGAGAGAGAGAATCGGAAAGAGAATGAACTTAAATTAATATTTTAATGAATTTGTTAATAACAAAGTCATAACAATAATTGAATTTTAAATTTTGGTCAGATCAAATATGTGTAAATCACCTCCATTAATATTTATTTTGAGCCAGTTAGCTTTCTTTAAAGAGATTGTTTGTTTATATATGCATTTAACATTTGTATAGTGAGCATGTTTTCAAGATTAGTAACTGTCACAAAGTATAGAACTAGGCTAAAACTCATTATTATTATCCTTTAAGATGCATATTGCATTCTAGTATTTTCATTACTTATTATATATCATTTACATGATTTGCAAAGTTGTCTAACTTGCATGAAATGACTCAGCACAAAGCTAAATGTTGATTATGATAGTTATGAGTCTGGCAAATGTGAACATGAAGTATGAGTAATTCAAGATATATAATAAAATAATGGTGATGTCAGAATCATAAGCAGATTCCTAATGAGACATTGAAGAAACTAGCTATAGAATATATGAATTCATATAAAACAAGAAAGCACATTCGGAAAAATATTCATGAAATAAAAATTATAGAATATATGGTAGAGTTCCAAACTTTAATGTACTTTAGTTTATGAATATACTACCAAAAACATAGATCTTTTTATTTCTACCCCATCTTTGTGGATTTATCTCCAATAAATTAACAGATTAATCAACTCTTCTTATTCCATAAGCTACTTTGTAAGCAGGATTATGTCTGTCCACGTGATGAATAGCACGCACTTAATGAGCCTTGGGATGACATTTATTTGTGATAATTCACCGTGGTTTGTATGAAACGCAATAGCTTTGCCCTTTTTTTATGGATATCAAATGCTTAAATTATTGGATCCATTTTTTCAAATCGAGCAAAACAATACATTTCCTATAATACTAGTTTTTTGCCATCTATGTTGCAATCCTAGGAATTTCTATAACGTCTCCTATGGTTTTGGGGCCTTCAACTCGCCGCAACTATTTGTTGCTATATAGTCTAGTTGGATGAGTTTTTGCCTCCAATTGAACTTCTATTTGTCACTACTACATATATATATATGACATTATCACCGTAAATTTTTCACTTAGACGTAAATTTACATAAAACTATGAAAAGAAACTACACTCTATTACGCTCGGAGATAATTGAAATTTGTTTTTTTTTAATATATTTAGAATGATTTTGATAAGTTTTTTTAAAAATTGAATATCAAGCATTGCAATAAGAATTCATTTTTTTTTTCAAATGTTGGGAGTATGTCATATGGATGAGCGTTCTTTAAGTGTGTCGCAAGTGTTAACCACTACTTATATAGCTAAGTCTTCTTATAACAATGTGGAGCTTGGTTCGTCCTTTAAAGCTTGGATATGCTTCTTAATACTTTAACTATTAGGTTAAATTAATGGTGCCAATAATAACTATAATACTAGAAGGGCTAAAGATAAACACAAATTATCATCAATTAGGTCAATTAAAACCAATGATTACTAATGAGGGAATTACAATAGATAAATATTTATTCATCTTAAATTCACTCATAAACTTACTCGAAAAAGCTAACAGAAGAAACTGTGATAACATGAATAGTTATTAAAATGAAAATTTATGCTAGAATAAGAAAGGTCATGATAAAATTTGTGAATTTATAATGGATAGTGAGTCGAATATAAAATGTGTTGGAAAAGCTAAACTTGATTTCACAATAGCATATGATACCCCTGAATAACAAAAGCGTAAAATTACATTGAGTAGGCTGCTAAATAAAAATAGACTGTTTTTTGATAAGAAGGAAACAAAATCATTTTGGAAAAAAGTATGAGATTATTTAACCATACAACATTAAGCGAGTTTTGTTAATAAATACCTAAAAATAAAAAAAGTGATTGAGAGACGTGAATTAGAATCTATTTATAAGCTAGAAAATGTCAATCTTATAAACCAAAAAAAAAAAGGACTGAAGTTGAGATAGTCATTTTAAAACTCTTACATTGAAATAAATCAAACACAATAAGATGGCCACTAGAAATAAAAAATTATTATATGTGTTCAGGGTAGTTCTAAAAACATATCTTTAACAAGTAAAGAGACTTACCGATGGAGCAAAAATATATAAAAAGTTACCAAGAAAGGTAAAGTGGGTTCAACATAATGACAAAATAAATGAACTAAGAAACAACAATTGTAAATAAACTATAAAATTTCAAAGTTAAAGCATGCCAAATTTAATGCAGCGTTGGAAAGTAGGCTTAGGACTTACATTAGTTATTTTATATAGTTAAGGATTTTTACATTTTTTATTGAAATTCAAAATAATTATACTTTCGAAAAATATTAGTTTAGAACTTTAGTGATTATCTAGAAATAGATTAAATTTGATCTTATCTTTTGTAACTAATTTCAAAAATAGGGATTTATAGCTTGTTGTTGAGTAGTTGATTAATATTAATAATTGCAGCTTCTTCTTAAACTTTTTTTTTCCTCTACCTCTCACAAGCCTCTCTCCTAATACCTATTTCTCTTCTCTGCCACCATCAAGTTGCATCATGAAGCCGAAGCAACAAATATTGATATTTTATTTCGAAGTATAGGTGTAGTTGAGGAAAAGATATAAAAGATGTTAATCAAGTTAAAAAAAATAAAATTAGCTTAATCATGCTTATAAATAAATACAATGTGGAATATAAAAGGCACTCTGGATAAATTACTTAGTTTTTAGGAAGAAATTTCAATAGAACTGGAAAAACAATGTAATGAAGAGTGCTTCTAAAATCATCAAAATAGCAAGATAGTGTAACTTTCGAAAAAGATGCATAGAATTCAAAAAATTGTCTCGAGAAAATAATTATAGAGATTCCAACGAAGAAATTAAAGAGGGAGTGTAAAACAACCAAGAGAGAGGGAAGAGTGCAACACCTATTAAGTGGAGGCAAGAGAGACACTGGACATCAATAAAGAGAGAGGGAAGGGGAGGAAATCACAATACCAATCTTGGGATAGAAAAACTAGCCCCTTCCATGGATCATGTGTTAGAATTGCTCTGGTGTTGGGGATGAAAAAAAAAGCAGAGCCATAATTAAATTTATAGTAGTCATGAAGGTATGTAAACCTTTCCATTTTGTTATATTTTAATATGTTATTAAAAAACCCCAAAAAAACTTTATTATTTATACAATAAGTGAATACAAATTCACAACATTATGCTTTGCGATTTGAAACCCGCACCTATATTTGTTAAGGTCCACATCTTTGCATTTGCAAGGATTGTGTGACACATGTGCTTTCAGTTAACCATGCATGCAGGCAAGTGTGCAAATCTAGAAGAATTATTCACTGTATATCTTAAGGCTACATGTCGCAGTACCGAAAAGTCCTTACAATCAACACAAACAAACAAATAAAAATAGCCAGAATAAAGATATTTACATGATTCACAAGCCATAAAAAAAAAATTAAATTTTTTTCAAAGCCTTGCAGGATTTCTTATGAAGATATACAAACAAACAAATAAAAATAGCCAGAATACAGATATTTACATGATTCACAAGCCATAAAAAAAAATTAAAATTTTTTCAAAGCCTTGCAGGATTTCTTATGAAGATAAAACTTATGACTCTAACCGCATTAGATAATGCATATCAAATTAAATGCATAACCCTTTCATCTGAATAAAACATATTCTTTACTAGTAGCTTTCTAAGGTCAAACCAATTCAAAAGTTCAAAACTCAACCACCAACATAATGTACAAATAGAAACTAAAAATTAAAAAAAAAAGTAACGAGACTAAATTCTATTGCCCTGATTCTGCAAAAGGATGAGACTGATGCCATGAACTCAAATTTGGATTTTGGCCGAATTGAAGGCGATATTGGATTTGCAGCATTCAAAAATTCGTTAAGTCCATGGAACTTCTGTACTTTGTTGTTAAATTCAAGAAGCCTATAAGTTTCCCTAAAAATGAAATTGTCATAATAAAACAGCACAAAGTACTGATAGCTAGTGATGAATGGAACAAAATACAAGATCGACTTCTCATTTGCTTCAAAATCTTGGAATGGCCTTTGGATCACATTATGCAATGAAAAAATGACATCATACCCACAATAAACAAGCTTAAGTGGGGATTTTTTTTCAGGTGGGACTTGCAAACTAAAGAAGTCGTCAATCAAAGAGCATTCTTGTTGTCATTATTGTACTTATCACAGCTACTAAATTAGCTTTAAAAATACTTTCTCAATATTCTTTCTTATTGAAGCCTGCATATTTATTAAATCATGCTCGAAAAATCTTTAGAACACTGTCTGCCAAGGAATCCAAATTCGCCAAGCTTTAAAATTGATTATATTCCCCAAAAACTGTCAAAAATCCTTCTGCTCTATCCCTTCCAATCTAATCCATACGATATAATATTCAAAGAGTGCTGCTTTCAGTTTCTTTAAACATGGGCATGCCCTACTTCACCTCGCTTTATTTTTTCGTGAATGCATCATAAGATAACCATGCTATTTAAATGCTCAAAAACTCGCGCAATAACAGCGTAGAAGTTAAGAAGAAGGATAAAAATGGAAGACACGCAGTGCCGCATGAGATAATCGCTCACCTCGAAAGGCGGTAACAAGGCCCAGTGCTTCAGGACTCCAATCAAACCCACGAATGGCAGCATAAACCCCGGCATATTCTCTGTTCCAAAGACACTGTCCAATCTTCCAAGCTGCCACAATTTCTGCTCGGCTCTCTTTTATCCTACTGGGAATGGACTTCCAAAGAAATCTAGCGCTGTTCCTGCAAACCAAGATGCTCGCAAAAGTCGATTACAGGAAATCCCAGTAAAAATACTGAGATAGAAAAAACCAATACAACTTCTGAACTTACAGATCGTTTACGTATATATGACCTAGCAGATGGATCGAATATGGCCAATCTTCTTGGAAGGATGTCCCCTTCGAGGCAACCTAAATGTCCGGTGAAAGTTCAAGGAGAAGAGAAAACCATGAATGGCAGCAGAAATGAAAGTCCAGACCAGAGAAACTGGTTGAAATGAATGCAGAAAGAGCTTGCCTGAAGCATGAGCTCATCGCAGATCTCTCCGATTCTTTGAAAGGATTTTGATGCCAACGCATCTTGCAGTTCCGATAGGTCCATCGATCGGAGAGTGCTGAGGAGAATGCAAACGGATTGCAAACAAATGATCCCCTTCGACGCTGAGCAGCAAGTTCACTTTGGGAATTACGTAATTTTTTTTATGGGAAAATTACATACAAACCATCGAGTGATTTTAGTGTTTAGGGTTTCTGAAAATTTGATATTTTCAATTGACTCCTCGAGTGATTTTTTTAAACAACTAAATCCTAAGGTATTTGTAGTTGTCAACGGTTCAACAATTGAAAATTTTATAGAAATGGAAAATATGATTGAAGTTTTAGCATGAATTTTGATATTTGAGTGAGAATTTGAAAAATGGATGAAACGTTGTAGATGATTTGTAAATAGATAGTTTTGGATAGTATGTATGCAATTGCTCCTTTTATATTCAATAAAGTTTTCGAGTTATCGACATTATTGTGTTGTGTTTGTGATTTTGATGGTATGTGTGGTATCTTTATGGAACACGAAGATAGCCCCATCATTCATTGGCAATGTTTTATTGAAGTACTCTTTACTCTTGATGGCTTGTGTCACTTTTGCTAACGAGACTCTTAAAGGAGTCAGCGGAGAGAGTTTGTGAGTCCGATGTAGCACTCTCTAGGCGACAGTTAGATCATTGTTTAGGGTGTCAGGCTTGGCTTTTCCAAATGGTGAATACTCATATCCAACGCTCAATCATCTGAAGAAGGGCACGAGTCTTCAAAATAAGTCATGGTCGATAGATGAGATTATGTCTCGATCCCCAACATTCTCTTTTGTCGTTTCTCTTCAAAGGGTGCTAGTTAGGTTACTCTATTTTGACAAGAAAGCGAATGTTATATTCTTCTACAAATATGTGGTTGTAGGTAAACTCCAGTAGCTTGCCCTATGTTTTGGGTCGTTGTAAGCCCAATACATTACAAAACATGCCCTCCTTTAGCTCTAGAGCGATGGTCGCATGGGAAACTGTGGCTTCCAAGGCTCAAAATTTTAGCATCTTCTTCTGAAAAACATGTGATAAAAGTGTATATGAACTCACTCTACCCCTAATGCTGTTGTAGGTGTGCCTATGAGCTCTTGCGGGGCCTCTGCGCCATAGCAAACTGAATGGGGAACATCCTCCTAATGTTTACAAATGAGGTGATCACCCTAGTGACAATTTGTTGAGCCACGAGAGGTTCAACTCCCTCGGGGTTATGAATAATAGACAACATTTCAACATGTCAGTTATGTCGAGCAAAACGGCAAATGACTCAAAGAAGACAATATGGTACATTGGGTTCGACCGTCCTCGATACGATTCCGGAGTTTGAATATTGAAACACTCAGAGGATTCAACTTTACAAATTTGCATGGAGAAAGCGTTGTGATTGTGTAGTATACAATAATTTAGTGCGCTCGTATATGTGGCAGTCTCCACCTCAGGGCATGGAGGAATTTTTCTACCGTTTGGAACTAGCGCTCCATCAAGGTGGCAAGACATTACTTTTCGGGGTAACTACACTTTTCTCTCGAACCACTCCACCCCTGATCATCTCCATAATATGTTCTTTGAGGTTGTTCATTTGCTCAGCTACGAACTCTCGTGTGCCGTCCATGTTGTTTGCGCTATCTTGATATTGGGGTTCTTCATCTAAAGTTATTCCTATTATTGCTTGTGGCATAATTCACACTCTTCGCATATTTTTAGAATGTTGAACCCATATTTGCTCGTGAATCACACCCAAAGAATAGAGCGTGAAAGAATAGTGAGAAAGAGAATGAGTGTGCGTGAGAGAGAGAGAGAGAGCTTGAAGAATCATCTGTGGCCCATGTTTTGGTGGTGTTGCAACCCCAACACAGTGCTATTTATGTAAGGGTTCGTTTGGCGCAGCTTATCCCAACGTTCAGCATTTTCATATCGTCGTGGAGTCGTTTGATTAGTGTGTTGGGGCTGGCGGTCTGAGAATGTGGGTATGGTTTTACGTTATAACCAAAATGATTTACGGGCACTCCCTTTACCTCAAGTCCCACATTTCATCACAGCTTATTACTCCTGAGCCCTCGATTTTGTCTCTGTTTGACAAAGTCGAGTTGAAGAGGGGAGGAGGCGACGGCTTGGACACGGGTTCCAGCGGAGAGGCCGGTGCGAGGAGAGGAGGCTGTAGCTAGTTGGTCACTGGCGAGGACTAGCGGCCGACGACTTTGAGTGAAATCCCAGAGTCTGCTAGGGTTTTCATGAAAACGAGGGTGACAGTTGTCTTGCGTGGAATAGATAGAGGAGAGAGGGTATGCGATGATTTTATATGGATGACAATAATAATATTATTATTAAAATAATAATAGTAATAATACTTATTATTCAATTAATCATTAATTTGCGCATTTTTTGCCTGCACGCGTCCTCACAGCGAAGTCGATATCCTTTTTGACTAAAATCAGCGTTTTAGATGCAATCGTGCAGTTCGTTTCGTCATCCGAGCTCATTCAGATCACTTTTTCAGCGATCAGGCTTATGTTTCATCTCGTGGCTTATGCTTTATCTATTTTTTTGCTCATACAATTCTATTGCAAATAACTTCACTAAACAATTAACATAATGACCATTTATCTAGCAACACATGCCAATAGTTGTTCTACACAAGCTCCTCCATACAACAAGACAACTTATCCTGATAATCTGCAGATTATCAAGTTATCAGGATAATCTGCTTATCAGCAAATTATTAATAATATACATCTGCCCCTAAATACCATAAACTTTTTATATCATTTTTATATGGGATTGTTATGCACGAATAACAATATTTGGATTACTCTGCATTTATTTATTCCTGGTCAAATTTTTGCTATATCAAACCGCTACTCGATGATGATCTCGACGATTGAAATTATTAGCTAAAAAGTTAAGCTACCACTGATCAGGGTAGGGCCCTTTGAAGCATTGATCCAAAATGTATCTGAGTTTCCAATCTTCATATTAGGGAAAATTATTACATTAGGACTCCGCGTGCAGAGCTTCTTGTGGAGTCCAATCTCGTACTGACACGTGGAAGACCGACTCACCTACATAAAAAAAAAAACATGCGATTCAACCCAACTGATGCGTTACAGAGTCAAATCAAATATTTTTTGCGTTATTTATTCTGTCGCCGTGTTATAGGAATATTTCATCGTGTTATTCTGAAAAACACATCAGTAATACATGAACAACACATCAATAACACATTAAATAACGCACGAATAACACAAAATATTCATAATAACGCGTGAGAATATTCCTAAATCATCAATAACACATTGAATAACTATAACTTATTAATAAATATAAATTATAACATCTAAAAAAATTATTTTTGTTATATAACACACTAATAACAAATTAATAACACATAATAATGCACCAATAATACTTAATAACACAATTATACAGTCCATAACCCGCAATATGACACGTGGGGAATATTCTTGGGGTGTTATATTGCGGGTTATAACGCCGCCTCACAAGTTATACAACCGCCCTATAACACTACCCTAGCTCGCAATATAACATGTATTAAATATTTTGCACGTGTTATACCGCGGGTTATGGAGTGTAAAATTGTGTTATTATATGTTATTAGTGTGTTATTATGTGTTATTCCACGTGTTATATCGCGGGTTATAGAGTGTAAAATTTTGTTATTATATGTTATTAGTGTCTTATTATGTGTTATTATATGTAACACATCAATAACATATGAATAACGCAAAAAACTATCGAAATAACGAGGGAAAATATTTTTATGAGATGAAATATTTCTATAACACATCGATAAGACCAATAATATTGAAAATAACGAGGAAAAATATTTTTATGCGATGAAATATTTCTATAACACATCGATAAGACCAATTAACCCATTTTCATTATTTTTATCATTTTTTATGTACCAAAATTCTCTCTCATCTTCTCCAATAACTCTAATAAATCCCTCCATTTCAATCTCGCCTGCTTTTGATATTGAATGTGCTTTCTAGTTCCTATAGGTTTCTTTCTTTTCGCACTGCGCGGATTCTGAAATAGCTTTTGTTATTTATGCATGTTGAAGAGGCGAGCGGAAGATGACGGAGCCCTCGAAAGTCATTCACGTCCGAAACGTGGGGCATGAGATTTCAGAGGTGGGTTTCATCACTGCCTTTCTGTTCCTTGGCGTTTCTACGCTTCAGATGCCCCAGCATTGTTGAGAACTATTGATTTAGAACGGGAAGTCTTTTGTTTTTTTTCGTTTTGGTTGTTGACCTCAGGTTGATTTGCTCCAGTTGCTGCAACCTTTTGGAGAGGTTACAAAGATTGCAATGCTTCGAGCAAAAAATCAGGTTTTAATTCATTTTATTTATTGATTTTTATTTTTTGTTGGCATTTGGTTTTCCTTGTATGTCGGGTGAATCTGAAATGCTTGATTATTTTTTTATTTATTATAAAATACTCAATGAAAATTTTGTTTTTATTTGTTTCGGCTTCAGGCCCTTCTCCAGATGTGGGATACATCTTCGGCTGCTAACGCCATGCAATTCTATTCACTTGTCCAGCCCAGTGTTAGGTAAGTCAGAAGTTTTGTTTCAGGAAGATTAAATACATGCCACTCAATTCCTATGCATTTTCTTATCTAACCCCTAATCTTTATTTTTTACACACATACCACCTTAAGCATGCATGCAGAATTGCATTTTACTTTTTTAAAGTTAAAATGATGGTATATTTGATGAGATATGAATGATTGTGCGGTATAAACGTAATAAGCAAAATTTAGGTGTTAGATATGTGTATGCATAGGAAATGGTGGATATGTATTTGAATGCCCCTTTGTTTTATTGTTATTTGATTCTTTATTGCTTTGCAATGATTTTCTTATTCATTATCCTCCCAAAACGTGATTTTTTGCACTTTTGGGCTAATATTTGATCCATTTATTGTTCTTCTTTTTAATTGGAATTTACTGGAGTCCACTCCATCTATTTCTGAACAAGAAAAAAAAGCTGAAGCAGCTGCTTATTTTCAAATGTTCATATGGTTGCAAACTTCCTGCTGTATACTCTGTTACACTTTTTGTAGCTGATTTTAGTACCAGCAATGCAGGATATGCCATAAT